GTCTTGATAAAACATCTCATCTGTAATGACATCAGACTTCTTTTGGTTTTGTGTGGATCATCTCTTTCGTTGACTAATAACTGTAAAATAGATTTCTTGCTGTTTCTTCCACGAGAATATTCACTCCTCTGTTATATAATTGAAACAGTGTACCAGTTAGCTGTTTGAACTCTCAACTTTTGACTCCCGTGACTGACCTAAATTCAATCGTTGTCAGCTTGCTCTGTGTGTCGTGGACTCTTCTCAGACTTGACAAATACTCGGGCGTAATGACGTTCAATTTGAATGTTAAAATATATCATTGTTACTCAATGTTCTGTAATACATCGTTGTTCTGACACTTCTGACAATATTTGTAACGCATCGTCGTTACACCGCTTCTGACACCATTTGTAACACACTACTACTCTGACATGGCGTGGGATGTTATTTCTTATGCTGTGGGTTATGTCAGTAGTATGGTTACTTATATTAACGCTTCAGGATGCCGACTCAGTCTTCTTCATTCTTTCACTTATTATTCAGGCACGTAAAGAAGAATACTCAATTCTAGTTAAAACTCACAGTACTTTATTGAACACACTTTATATTGATAATATTAATAAATAATCCTTGCATGAATGTAATTTCACATATATATCTATAGTATTCCATCATTAAGAAAGACACGTCCTCAGACTACTATAACTCAGCTCAACTGTCTAATCTCACAGCTCTCACGCTAATGACTGACTATACTCCTCTGCGCTCAGCTCTCTACTATATCAGTCAACTCATACTTCATTACCAGCAAAGCGTGCAAAACAACCGCTCTGACAAAAACATAATTTTACTCTCCAAAAACGTGGAGTTCACATTTGTTCTCAAAAATACAATCCACATTGATTGTCTCTCCCCGTGGAAAAACCTGGTGAACACACTCACTGTCCACTCATGCTACCTCTCAATATATATATATATATATATATATATATATATATATATATATATATATATATATATATTTATATATTTGTATATATATATATATTGATATATATATATATATTTAGAATAGAATCTGAACTTAGAAGAGACACCAAACTCACAGCCAACTTCCAATGACAGGTGGAAGAAATGTTCAAAAGTCCCCGGGTAGTTAAATGGGGCAACATGGTTGTTCATTTGGCTGTAGAAGGATACCAGAACATCTTTGGGGTTCCTGTCAAGGTAGACAATTTTGATCTTCTTCTCCAAGGCTTGTCTTGGAATGTACCTGGTGGTTGTGTCCATGTAAAATCTCAATCAAAATAAAACTAAACAGTACGAAAAGGAGTAACTGAGCTGCTCTCCTGGGCAGAAGTTTCAGTGAGATGTAAGTATGATATTTTGAATTGTGACAGAACCAGAATATATTCGTGACAGAAAAAAAATAATTGTTACAGAAACAGAAAATATTTTGTGACAGAAACAGAAAATAATTGTGACAGAACCAGAAAATATTTGCAACAGAACCAGAAAAAGATTGTGACAGAACGCGAAAATAATTGTGACAGAACCAGAAAATAATTGTGACTGGATTGGTGACGCGTATTATTTGTTTTTATGGTTGCTTATGTTTTTGTTGATGTTTGTGTATGGGGATGGCGGTAGTGGTTGCTAGTACTCCATAAAATGTTTCGTAATGAAAAGGTTTAAACTGAAATTCTTAATTTAATATTTACATTCAAGCTAGATCTATATAAATGTGAATTGATTAAAAAAAAATTAGAAATAAATAAGATCTGATATACAAATGATAGGAGTCAGCATGATCAACCCATTGACCGAGGGCTCTCAAAATATAGAAGAAGAGAAGAAGAGATCTAGTCTAAAAATTAAGTAATTAAAGTGATCAATGTTGTTGAGATTTCAATAATTCGCTTTCCGTGATTTGTAAAAATGTCTGGTACGCTGACAGGGAACCGTTGACAACTTATTATTATATATGTTGTATTGATCTAACTGATTATTTATCAATTTAATTTTTTTTTTTCAAAGACACGTAAATAGTGAAGGGACTTCCCAAATGGGGTGAGTCCACAGTCCACACCTGAACGGCACGTGCGTCACCAACGTCCTAGGCGAAGGGAGGCTCTCAAAGGATGTGATGGCCTTGGCATCAAGGAAAGAGTCCAGCATGTTGCCCCTGGTGCGATCTGTGAACTGGACTTTCTTCTCCTTCAACATGTGCATTATCTCGACGTGCCAGTGCAGTCCTGGGCGTTAGAGAAAATAGGCAGAAATAAGGGGTGGTGTGAAGAGGGAGTAGGGTAAATAGGGAGGGTGGCAAAGTGGGAGTGGTTATAAACAGGGAGCTGTGTAAATAAGGAGTGGGGTAAAGAGGGAGCGGGGTAAAGAGGGAGTGCTGTACAGAGGGAGTGCTGTAAAGAGGGAGTGCTTTAAAGAGGGAGTGATGTTATATAGGGAATGGATTAAATAGGGAGTGGGGTAAATAGGGAGTGGGGTAAACAGGGAGTGGGGTAAAGAGTCAAGGCGCATATAGGGAGTTGGGTAAAGAGGCAATGGGATGAAAAGGGAGTGGGATGAAAAGGGAGTGGGGTAAAAATGAAAGTGAAAAATAAAGGAGAAGTGGAATACTACTTGTAAGGCTTTAAGTGTAAGGAATATACTTGAACTTTAGATAGAATCAAAAAAAACTTTTGATGGCGGAGCTGAACTGGGTACGCGCCAAAAAGTTTTATTTATGCAAAATAAATGTATAAATATATGTTTATTATCCGGATGGGGGGGGGCACCAAAATACCCCTTTCTCTTAACACGATTCTGGTCGATTAACCAGGCTGCCTACCACACATCAGCGCTGTAGGACAATAGGAATTTTCTTCAAATATGTTAAACATAAAAATTAAAAAAAATATCACGAAGAATTAAAAAATGCTTAAAAATGGATTTGAAATATCCCACTCAAATTTTTTGTAGACATATTTGGAGTTTTTTTTTAAATATTCAGGCCAAACATCTTCACATTCCAATATACCGCAGCTTCACATTCCAATGTACCGCACATTGAAATATGGAATGGGTGAACTGTCTGAATCAGAGGGTGCATTGAAGCAGATTCCATCAAATATACGCTTGAAGACCTGCCACGGGCGTAAGAAAAGGGCGGAGCGTAAGGGGGACTTATTTTTGGGTGGCCTTTTAGTTAAACGTCGTATACATTATTTAGTGCCTTTGTTTCATGGGCATATCTGCGTGAATTGTAGTTGGACCATCAAGGGCATTGCAAAGTCCAGTAACTCTACGGTGACGAGAATTCGGGTCAGAAGTTAGCGGTATTCAATTTCAACAATCTGAGAAATTTAATTTCACACGCTCACCTGTTCATACGCCCACCTGTTCATATGCTCACTGTTCATACGCCTACCTGTTCATACGTTCACAGTGCATACGCCTACCTGTTCATATGCCTACCTGGTCATACGCCTAACTTTTCATACTCCCACCTGTTCATACGCTCACCTGTTCATATATCCTCACCTGTTTTGGGAAAAGAGCAGATCAGCACGTCATCAGGCCTGATTTCCATGTCCCTGATATTTCGCGCATGCGTTCTGTAGTCATTGTCTGCTCCAATGGGAAATGGTATGTGCCAGTAGTCACCAGCATTGCCGAAGAAAAATGTGTTGCCGAATCTTTGATTTCAACAATAAAATAATTTTGGACATACAGTAATTTATATGTTGTGTGAGATTTTGGTTTTCTTCATTAAAAATGTCACTTTTTATGTGAATTGTTACGCATTGTCTTCTCTTGTGAGAAATTAATCTCTTTTTTAAAGTTATTGGCTCGTTGTAACAGTGCCTAACAAAGGGCAATACCATATAGAAATACAATAACACAAGTACGACACCCAAAACAGTACCAATTACAATTAATAAGATTTAATTCAGTAATAATACAATTATAAGCAAAAGAAATATAATTACAAATCATCAACTTACAGTATGGTAGATCTTGTACCGGTACACAGTTAACACAGTTAGTACAATGTGCCAATGAATAATGATTAATGAAGAATGCGAATAAACACATATATAAGAACACAAAGAATAATACACGTCTCGTAAAGTTAATAATTTCTATGTGAATCTCATCGAATCTCCGACCCTCTGTGCCTGTCAATCATGTATATTTGTGGGTCTACCGACGCGCTAAGAAACGCCTTTACTTTTCCAGAACAAATTGAGAACCTTCGATAAGACACAAGTAGGCATACTAACCAATATGCAATCGGCCGTCAGTTGTAAACAAGATACATCAAAGAGAATTTAAACCGAACTTCACGCACGGGGAAATCTTTTTAAAATGTTATATATAAAATGAATGTTTTAAAAAAAAAGGAATTTTGATAGGCTTAGTATATGATTAAAAATGTATATCAGTGCTATTTACAACTTATTTCACTATGGCTAGAAGTCAATCAATTATAAATGCATATGGGACATAGTTACATCTTACCTGTCAGTTAACTGAGCGAGCTTCGGGAACATTTTAGGACTGAAAAACCCAACAGTTTTGTCTGGGTCATTTTTAGGATCTTGGTCTTTCGATGCGGCAGTTTGTTTCTGTTCAGAACTTGGTTGGGTAGCAGCCCTGGTTCAAATAACACATGTAGTCATTGGTATATATGTGGATTCAGTTTCTGTATGATATGTGGATTCTGTTTGTGTATGATATGCGGATGCATTTTAAAGATTTTTTTAGGCTGTTTGATCATAATATACGGATATTTTTTCAATATATGTGGGCGCTGTTTGTTTACACGTGGATATGTTTGCTTACATATGGATCAGTTTGCATCCGTGGTGGATGCTGTTCAAATACTTATGGTGATTATGTTTGTTAAAATGTGGATGCTGTTTAGTTTGCTGCTATGTGGATGCTGTTTAGGTTCGATGATTTGTGACAGCTCAATTGCTGTTTGTCTTTCATGGTTTGCGACAACCCAAAAGCCGCCTGTATTTCATGGTTTGCGACAACCCAAAAGCCGCCTGTATTTCATGGTTTGCGACAACCCAAAAGCCGCCTGTATTTCATGGTTTGCGACAACCCAAAAGCCGCCTGTATTTCATGGTTTGCGACAACCCAAAAGCCGCCTGTATTTCATGGTTTGCGACAACCCAAAAGCCGCCTGTATTTCATGGTTTGCGACAACCCAAAAGCCGCCTGTATTTCATGGTTTGTGACAACCCAAAAGCCACCTGTATTTCATGGTTTGCGACAACCCAAAAGCCGCCTGTATTTCATGGTTTGTGACAACCCAAAAGCCGCCTGTATTTCATGGTTTGTGACAACCCAAAAGCCGCCTGTATTTCATGGTTTGCGACAACCCAAAAGCCGCCTGTATTTCATGGTTTGTGACAGCTCAAAGTTCTGATACTGATTGTGGGAAGTCAAAACCAATCTTATTATTTCATTAGAAATGTCACCAGTAAGCCAACAGTGGTCACCACTCAGCACTGACCACTGAGTGGTGAGTGGTCAGTGGTCAGAGCTCAGTGCTCAGTGGTGAGTGCTCAGTGGTCAGTGCTCAATGGTGAGTGCTCAGTGGTCAGTGCTCAGTGGTCAGTGCTCAGTGTTCAGTTGGTCGAGAGCCGAGACAACGATTCTTCGAAATTCCTCTTGACAAAGATGACATCTGATTGAAATAAGTCTTGACAAAAACTGACATTTTCCCTGAGATGACACATAGCATAAAACTTGTCATTTAAACTATGACAACGACGATAAGGACATTTCGCCAAACTTTCTCGATTGGTCGAAAATTTATCTAGCTGATTTTTAAAAATCTATATTAACACTCTTATAATCTACATAACACTGGTATTATCTATATAACAATGGTATCATCTATATAACACTGGTATCATCTATATAACATTGGTATCATCCATATAACACTGGTATCATCTATATAACAATTGTGATCTAATATAACAGTGGTATTATCTATATAACACTAGAATCATAAATATAACACTGGTATCATCTATATAACACTGGTATCATCTATATAACACTGTTATCATCAATATAACAGTGGTATCATTTATATAACAGTGATATTATTATATATAACACCGGTATCATAAATATAACACTAGTATCATCTATATAACACTGGTATCATCTATATAACACTAGTATCATCTATATAACACTGGTACCATCTATATAAGACCGGTATCACATTGTCACATCACAACATGTGTCCGCCAACGCTATCTGATGAGCTGAACAAATACGTCAGCCAGATACCAATACGAAGGGAGGAAGCTAGAGGGTCATGGGATAGCTGTCCAAGTGGACGTTATTTTTGTCAACAGTGATTGATTTTTTCAAATAATCTTTTGAATAAGAATGTGTAGGCAGAAGGGCACATGCCTAAATAGCTATTAGGTCACAATGATGACTGAAGGAGTACAGGGGATGGGAGTATGGGTTATTGAAGGATATCATCATGTCATCTAAACCTACATCTTCTTTTGTTGACCCCATCCCACCCAAGATTGTTTTGGACTGTCTGAATGTCTTGCTTCCTGTTCTGGTTAACATTGTGAGTAGTAGCCTTCAGCCTGCCACGGTCCCAAACATTGTGAGTAGTAGCCTTCAGCCTGCCACGGTCCCAAACATTGTGAGTAGTAGCCTTCAGCCTGCCACGGTCCCAAACATTGTGAGTAGTAGCCTTCAGCCTGCCACGGTCCCAAACATTGTGAGTAGTAGCCTTCAGCCTGCCACGGTCCCAAACATTGTGAGTAGTAGCCTTCAGCCTGCCACGGTCCCAAACATTGTGAGTAGTAGCCTTCAGCCTGCCACGGTCCCAAACATTGTGAGTAGTAGCCTTCAGCCTGCCACGGTCCCAAACATTGTGAGTAGTAGCCTTCAGCCTGCCACGGTCCCAAACATTGTGAGTAGTAGCCTTCAGCCTGCCACGGTCCCACGTCTCTTTAAAGCGGCGGTGATTACGCTTCTTCTTAAATAAAGTGGCCTGGACCAAATGACTGCAAGAATTTTCGCCCGGTCTCCAACCTGCCCTTTGTACCTAAAATTCTTGAGAGAGTTCTGTCACAGCAGCTTATGCAGCATCTTAACACTTATGACCTGCTTGGTAAGTTATATCTGTATATCAACCTGGACACAGCAATGTGAGGGCACTACTCCGTGTCATGAATGATGTTCTTTGTAGTGCTGACCGCTGTGATCTATTGTTCCAGTTGGTCCTCAGTGCTGACCGTACGCTCTGATGCTATTAGTCCTGTTGGACCTCAGAGATGATTTGTATGTGATTGACCATGAGCTTCTTCCGTCAAGACTTCTGAATTAGACGGACATCTCAGGAACTACACTTCGCTGGTTTTCTTCTTATCTGCTTGACAGGACTCAGCGCATTGTAGTGCAACAAGCATCTCCCATGGACACTTTACTTACCTGCGGCAAGCCACAGGGCTCAGTTTCAGGACCTATTCTGTTCTCCCTGTACACTAGCCGAATGGGCAGAATTACTGAAAGTCGTGGTATATCTCGCAAATTATTTGCGTATGACACAGGACTGTACAAGTGTTTCCGCCCTGATCCTTTTGGACTGTGCTGCTGCTGTCCAGGCTGTCGAGGACTGTTGTCTTCTGGTGAAATCATGGATCCCCTTGTCCAACACTGTCAGAGATCTGGGCTTCTACACTGACTGTAAACTTACAATGATACTTCATAACAGTTCTGTGGTCAGGGCTTGTTTCTGTCATCTTTGCGCCGTAGGTCAGCTGCGTCGTCAACTAAATAAAAGAGCAGCCAATGCCGTAGCAGTCACTCCAATCCAATCAACTGTTGTTAGTGGGGTTTACCTCAAAACCAAATTCAGAGACTCCAGAAGGTACAGAATACTGCAGCACACATTGTGTCGTGAATCAAGAAATCTGTCCACGTCAACCAAGTTCTTAAAGATTTCGATTGGCTTCCTATGAGTGAGGGCATTGACCAAAAAATTCTGTCCCTGGCGTACAATTGTATAGAACTTTCTGCACCTGAATATCTTCAAAAGCTGATTTCTAAAAAGATATCCTTACAGAACCTGCCATCTTCAACACAGTCTTTACTGAGGGTTCCCAGTGTGGATGGACATAGAATAAAGCATGCGATGTGCCCTCCTTTGAAGCTACAGCGCCTAAATTATGGGACAGTTTGCCTCAATCTTTGAGGGGAATTGAAAACGATCAAATATTAATTAAGAAACATTTAAGGACTTTTTTCTTTAAATAGATTTTAGGACATTGGAGCACTGTAAGCATTTTAAATTAACATAGACACAATCGCTATAAATGTATTCAATTTAAAAATTAAAAATGGTCTGTGAATGTGAGCATAGAGCACTTCTACGGGGGTCGAAGATAAAAAAAATCCCAAAGAATGTAGTAGAGACTTCGTTCCATTTTTTTAAAAAAAATTACATTTTCTAGAAGTAGATCTTTTTTAACAATAATGGGGTCACACTAACCTTAGAAACACTCACACAAATAGTCATCTAATGCTTAAAGAAAAAACAAAAACTGTACAATGGAAATCACACAAAATGTTGATTGAAACTTTAAAAAAAACAACAAATGTTCACTGTAACTTACATGATTTATTGAAGAGTAGATCAGAACTTCCCTTTGGTAAGTCGGTCTTTAAAAGTGCAGTGAAATGCTGAACTTTAGATCTAAGTTGCACAAGCCCCGCCTCTTCTTTCGCCAACTTTTTCGTCGCACGGTGCCGGCAAACAAACGTCCAACGGGGGCTGGTTTATGGTGTCTTGTGCAAACTGCTGGTCACGTTACATCATTCACATGCTCTAGGCCTACATTAAAAGTAGGGCCATGATGAATGCATAGTTGTGGACACATTTATGTTAACCACTGACCCCACTCTACTAGTGTGCTATTTTGCTAAGCTCTGTTAATAATAATCATTAGGCCTGTTAATTATCCTTATTACTATAATTTAACCAGATGAAATTCTAAGGCAGTATTTCTCAACCAGGTGGGCATGCGGCCCCTTAGGTGCGGGGGGGGGGCAGTGTGAGAGGGGCGCGTGAAGACCAAGAACATTTGTTATCAAAGAAGGTGTGTGTGAGTGTGTTTGTGTGTGTGTGTGAGGAGGAGGGCGGGGGAGATTATATATATATATTATATTTATATATTTTTTAAAATCTTTATTTTGATTATATTTAAACCTATTTTTTTTCAACGCACATTAATACATTAATTAGCTGTCATCCCCCCCCCCCCCAACCCGCCTAAATCGCACTCACCAACACATTAAGGAAATGAACCATTCTTCTTTTTTTTTTTAAACCACACATTTTTCTCCTTCTATGAATCAACTGCATTCCACCATTTGAAATTTTGAATTTTCTTGCATCAGTTTCTTCGGCTGGTGTCACATTACAAGATACATGAAACTCTGATTGAATTGTTAAACTGCAGTGGGAAATACCAGCTCATGGCTTATAACGATTTTTAAAAAAATAATAAAAGCAGATGAAGAAGAAATCCGGCACAGAATGTGTGCACAACAAATAGCAAATAAACACATTGCTCTTATGGCATAGAATAGTTCTTATTTAGTGGAATGTGGGTTCTTATGGCATAGAATAGTTCTTATTTAGTGGAATTTGGGTTCTTATGGCATATAATAGTTCTTATTTAGTGGAATGTGGGTTCTTATGGCATAGAATAGTTCTTATTTAGTGGAATGTGGGTTCTTATGGCATAAAATAGTTCTTATTTAGTGGAATGTGGGCTCTTATGGCATAGAATAGTTCTTATTTAGTGGAATGTGGGTTCTTATGGCATAGGATAGTTCTTATTTAGTGGAATGTGGGTTCTTATGGCATAGAATAGTTCTTATTTAGTGGAATGTGGGTTCTTATGGCATAGAATAGTTCTTATTTAGTGGAATGTGGGTTCTTATGGCATAGAATAGTTCTTATTTAGTGGAATGTGGGTTCTTATGGCATATAATAGTTCTTATTTAGTGGAATGTGGGTTCTTATGGCATAGAATAGTTCTTATTTAGTGGAATGTGGGCTCTTATGGCATAGAATAGTTCTTATTTAGTGGAATGTGGCAGAAAAAGACATTTTTTCATATAAATCCTTCATACAATATAATATCGAGCAATTTGGGGGAGCGATGAGGGGCTGACAATTTGATAAAGCATGCATTCCATTATAAGTAACGCACTTTATAAGAATCCTAATTAGTGCTCCCCCCTCCTCCCCCAAGGCTCACAACCACACATTTCTAAACGCCCCTCAACTATATTAATATTCTAATGACCGACCCGCTTTTACATCGCAGATTTATTTCACCAACTATTTCAGAAAAAAAAAGAAGAAAATATTACACACCAAATGCACTTGCGATATTTTAAATTTTTTATCTTCATTTGAAAACAGGAAAACGACATTTTTTTTGGATTGGTCTTGGGGGAGGGGGAGGGGGGGATAAAATTTGATATAATGTATTGTCATCGGCAACGTATATGTGCCAGGTTACAGCTTAAATAGTTGACGGGAAGTGGGTCAATTAGCTGTCCAAAGATTTTACCAGTCCGCCACTCAGCCAGCCAGCCACTCAGCCAGCCAGCCAGCAAGCCAGCCAGTCAGCCATCCACGATCAAAAAAGAAGTGAATCTAAAGCATTTAAAAAAAAGTGCAGTTGTTTTAGTTTCAATGAAAGGCAAGAGAGACACGGGGAATTTTAATTAAAAGAGAGACACGGGGAATTTTAATTAAAAGAGAGACACGGGGAATTTTAATAAAGAGAGACACGGGGAATTTTAATAAAGAGAGACACGGGGAATTTTAATAAAGAGAGACACGGGGAATTTTAATAAAGAGAGACACGGGGAATTTTAATAAAGAGAG